AGAGCTAGGCAAGTAGGGCCCATCACCAAATCCAGCCTGCCACCTGGTTTTGTGTGAGCCTGCAAGCTAAGAACTGTTTTTATATTTTTAAGTGGTTTTTTAAAAATCAAAAGACTATTTCATGGCATGAAAATTACATAAAATTCAAGGTTTATTGGAACACGACTGTGCTCATGTGTTTGTATTGGTTGTGGCAACTCTCATGCTCCAGTGGTAGATCTGAGGTCTTAGTGGAGCCCTCATCGCACAGTGCTGCTCAGCACACAAGAAGTTACAATTGCCCAGTTATTACTCAGTTTTATCTCTTCCCAGCAAAACCTAAAATATTTCTATCTGGTCCTTTATAGAAAAACTTGCCAGCCTTTTTCCCAGATGATTATTTCATGCCTCCTTTCAAACCTCAAACCTCCAGCACCTCTCCCATCCTCATATTTAAGAGGTGACTGTGTTTTCTATCTAAGAAAAGAGAAGCAATCAGAGAGAACTTCCACATACTCCCACCACCACAGCTCACCATCTGCCTGTGCTGGTGCTGTGGACCCTGCAGCCCTCCTGTTCAGTGGATGAGTTGTCTGACCTCTCTGAAGGCAGCTACGTTAATCATCTCTTGTTGTGTAATATTACCACAAACTTAGCATCTGAGAACAACACACATTTATCTCTCAGTCTCTGTGATCAGGATTCTGACATGTCTCAGCTGAGTCTTGTGCTTCAGGGTCTCACAAGGTTACAATCAAGGTGCTGCCCAGGGCTGTGGACCCACCTGAGGCTCAGACAGGGAAGGATCTGCCTCCAAGCTTGCTTGGTTGTTGGTAGCATTCAGTTCCTTGTAGGTGCTGGACTGGAAGCCTCTTGTTTGAAGTTTCTTGCAACATGGACCTCAGTATGGGTGCTTGTTTCTTCTAAGCCAGCAAAGGAGAGAGCATCTTGCAAAACAGGCATTAGGATCTCATGTAACATAATCATGTATATGTAATTGTATACATGCTATCACTCCTGCTCTTTCTGTTGGTTAGTAGCATATCACAGGTCCCTCCCACACTCGGAAGTGGGATCACACAAGGGCATGAACTTGAGCTTGTCTACACCCTGACCCTCCACTTAGATACCAGTTCTGTCCCCTTTTATCTCCTCAGGGACGTGACTTCGCTATGCTACATGATCTTCTCAAATAACTACCTACATAACTACATCTTCATACAAATGTGCTATAATTTCTCCCATCTTAATATTTTTTTTTAAAAAACTCTGCCTCCAATTCTCCCCCAGCTACCCCTCTATTTCTCTGTTTTCCTTAATATTAATGGTTCTTAAAAGATTTGTTCATACTTACTCTCCAATTAATCTCCTCCCTTTCTCTCTTGATTCCATTCCAATTACAAACACACACACACACTCACACTCCATTGTAGCTGCCCCTGGGAGGGGCACCTGTGACCTTTCCCAGCTCACAGTCTCATTATCCTTCACCTTCATCAATATTGGACAGTTGATCGCTCACGTCTCTATGGAATGCTTTCAGCATAGCTTCTCTCCTGCAGCCCTCCTGTTCAGTTTTTGTCGTCATCAGCTGTTTCTTCTCTGTCACCTTTGCCCATTCCTCTCCATCTGTGGTCTGGGGCCTAGTCCTTGGACGTCTTCTACGTCAACTAACAGTCACTCCCCTAGGTGAGCCCGTCTGAGTCTCCTGGCTTTGATACCAGCATCCAAATCTTCTTTTTTTTTTTAATCCTCACTCAATATTTTTTCCATTGATTTTTAGAGAGAGTGGAAGGAAGAGGGAGAGTCAAGGACACATCAATTGGTTGCCTCCCGAATACCCCTGACCAGGGCGGGGAGCCTGCAACTGAGGTATGTGCCCTTGATTAGAACCAAACCTGGGATCCTTCAGTCCGCAGGCCAGCAATCTATCCCGAGCCAAACGGGCTAGGGCGGCACCCAAATCTTTATATATATATGCGCGCACACACACACACACACACACACAAATACACACATATATATATGATTTCAGAGAGGAAGAGAAAAGGAGAGAGAGATAGAAACATCAATGATGAGAAAGAAATACCCCACACTGGGGATTGAGCCCGCAACCCAAGCACATGCCCTTCACCGGAATCAAACCCGGGACCCTTCAGTCCGCAGGCGGACGCTCTATCCACTGAGCCAAACAGGCTAGGGCAGCACCCAAATCTTTATCACCAGTTCAACCTCTCCCCTAAACTTCATATTCATATATCTTAACCTCAACAGTTCCACCTGAGCATTTCAGTTTAAAGGGTTTCAGTCAGAACTGATACTTCTTTCTAAGCTTACTGTTGCCATAACCTTCTCCAAATCAGTAAGTGGCATTTCAGTCACCACTCGACTCAAGTGAGATGCCTTAAAGTCTTCCTGTTCTCCTCTTTTTTTCTCACACATGTTCATTGAATGCTCTACCTTGCTCTACATGCAAAATAATTTCAGAACCAAGTGTTCTCACTCCCTCCACCAGGACCTCTCTGTCCAAGCCACATCCCCTTTTCCCAGTAATTATACTGGCCTCACTGCTTTTCCTGTTTCCACCCTTTCCCCAGCTCTCCCCACCCTTCCTAGAACTCTTGTTTCTCTTTTTCCTTCCTATGCTGCATATCTTACCATCTGGGGATACTGCTACCCACCATAGTCCCTACCACACAGCAGGCACTCAGTAGGGTCTGGTGAGTGAATCAACTGGTAACATTAAACAGGGTGGACAGTGTCATGGCGAGAATTTGGATTCCTAGGATTTAGGAAGAAAATGAGAGGCGTGGGAAAGAATCAGCACACACATACCAGTGCAGAGAGGCAGGTGTGTCAGGGGAAAGAGAGGATGAGAACTCTAACATGAGTGAGCAGCAGGTCAGGCAGTCCAGGCTTGTTTGTAGGTAGACACCAAAGGCTCAGTGCTGTCCCATAGGCTAGTCCCTCACCAGGCAAAGTAGGCGGTGCAGGGAGGGTAGCAGGGGTGCACCTGCCTCCCCAGAGCTGTGTGAGCAGGGGCTTATGTGGTGAGGAGCAGACGGGCCTCCTGCTCCACCCCAGCACCAACCTCGGCCTTTATCCTCTCACTGCCACCTTCACTCACCTTGTCAGCTCAGAGGGTTGGTGTATTGTTTGTCTCCTCTATTACAGTGCGGGGGCAGGACGGACAGGGACCTTCTGTGCCCTAAGCACAGTCCTGGAACGGGTGAAAGCGGAGGGGATTCTGGATGTCTTCCAAACCGTCAAGAGCCTGCGGCTGCAGAGGCCACACATGGTCCAGACACTGGTATGCTGCCGCGTGTGTCCACACCACCTGTAGCCCTTCTTCGTCAGGGCAGCTCAGGGGGAGGCTCTTCCTAGTTGTCAGAGCCTATGTAATTGCAGACCCGTTCTTCCCTTCCCCAGGGTGCCCCAGACAGAACGAGCCTTGGGAGGCAGTGAAAGCAGATAGCCCTGTCACCAGTAACTCTCTTCCTGGTGCACCCCTGCCTGGCCTGGGCAGGGCACCCCATGGGCTTGTCACACTTCTCCATGAGTCCGGGGAAGGGAAGACTCAGGAGTGCCTCCTCTCTTCTGCTCAGGCTCCCTGTGAAGAGGTCTGGCTCCTGACAGTCTGACCAGTAACCACTGAGTATGGGGAAAGTAAATTTTAAGATATTTGGGAGTTAATGAGGTGCCTCGAGCCTGACAGTCATAGTGAGATGTGGGCCACACAGCCATCTCCCCACCAGCTCTACCAAACCACACACACATCTGACCGCTTCTTCTCTGGTCGCCTCCATCTGTAGGAGATGAGCTGCCCTCACCCAGAAGGGGATGCTGTCAGAACTCGGGCAGGAACCACGTGTATGTTCTCATCAGTAACCCTTGCTTTCCCCCTCCTTTCGCTCTCCAGGAACAGTACGAGTTCTGCTACAAGGTGGTGCAGGAATATATCGATGCATTCTCAGATTATGCCAACTTCAAGTAAGGTGATGAGACCGTGGACAGGAGCATTGCCTTTAATATTTTGTAATATTCTGTTTGTTAATATACCCAAAATTGTGTATATATCTTATAACTGTTTTAGAAATTGGTACATAGGCTTCTATTACTTATTAGGTGGAGATTTTATATGTAAATGTGATAGCACTGATATTCCTTTTTCCAATGTTTTATTGGGGAATTAAATAGTGTGATGTTTGGACTGATATTGTGAAATTCTCTGCCTGGAAGTTGGGCTGAATTGTTCTGTATTTTACACATCTTTTCCTAAAGAAGAAACACAAAACTCTTTCCAGGTAGCTTGGCATCAACTAAGAAAAAAGCACAAAGCTCTCAGAGCTCTTGAGGAAATTGGTTGTCCCAGGGCCCTGTCAGGCCGCTATTCCCTCCCTGCTCTGTAAGTAATCCCTCCCCTCCCCCTCTACGCAGCCTCTTCTCCCACCACCCACATCCATCATGGGAGTAAGGGGACCAGAGTGGTACCTCTGTCACCACACTAGGGATTATCAAGTAATAAAAGCTTTGCCTCCCTGAGGAAACGTCTCTCCCTTTGTCTGGGGTGGGGCAGCCATACCAGAGCTGGGGCTCTCCTAGGCCACTCCTGACCCTGCTGGTACTGTTTTGTCTCAACTGGCCCCAGAGAGGCCAGTCCTCCTGACTCCTCCTTTCCAATAAGTGCAGCCCCTCCAGTGCTTGGCTACATGCCAAGGACCCGCCTTCCCTTCCCAGCCCATCTTTGGTGCAGTGGTCCCAGCCAGCCTGGCACTCTGGGAAGATAGCCAAGGGCATTGAGGAGAGAGGAAGTGGCTCGGGGCTAAGGCTAGTCTGACCTCTCTGGTGCTTTGTTACAAAACTACCTGGATTGTGTCACTCCGCCCAGAATAAGTCTTTATTCTCACACTTACTGTGTAAATAGCTTCAATTTTCTTTCACATCTGTCCTCATATCCAGGACTTTTATGTGGAAGTGCCTCAGATTCTGGATGGTGGGAGTCTTAGATTCCAACTTGATTTTGAGCTGAATATTAGGCAATAGTGTTTAACTTTTGTGTCTCAAATAAGGTAGATGTTCGTTTATTTCTCATGTAATTGTCTGCCCAGTCCAGAGGCCCAGTATCCTCCCATCTCGTGGTTCCAGTGTCCCTTAGGGTGTTATTCTTTTCTTCATGGTTGGAGCTGGATCACTGTCTTTTCCCATGGAGAACCAAAAACAGTGGAAAGCAAGCAACTTCATTTTTAAGGACATGAAGCAAAATTTGCACTTTTCATTCTCATACATATCCCATTGGTTAAAACCTACTCATAAGGCCACACCTAGCTACAGGGAGGCTGGGAAATGTAGTCTTTGGGAGCACAGCTGGGAGAGGGGGCCTGTCCACTGCCTCCTATCCTCACAAGCAGCTCATCATGGGAACAAGAGAATAAACTGTTTGTCATGGCTGTCAGTGCAGTACTGAGAGAGGCCTGCAGCCTGGCCTGGCCTGTAGGGCATTTCTTGAGGAGCAGGGCCAGGCCCTGAGCCTTCTCAGGCTCAGGACTGAGAGGTGACACCCTAGCCTGGTCCATGAAGGCACACTTGAGATATCAGTGCTGCTGTGCTTCTTGGAGGAGGTGGGACTTGAACTGGACCCAAGGGATGCTGGATATTCAGATGAGTGAAAGGAGGAAAGGTCAGGTGGAGTCACATTACAGAGGACCTCGGAATCCAAGCAAGCAAGGACACCACGGCTCCAAGACGGGAGCCAAGTTTTGTACCACATTCAGGATGTCTGCAAGGACACAACAGACCACCTCTGGAAGCTTGCAGGAGGTGAGTATGTGTCAGTGGAGGCACTCAGTCCCTTCTGTACGAACTAAGGAACTCCACGGGGCAATAAACTCTGATTTCAGTAGTTTTAAAAGAAGCCTGGATAAATTAAGCAATGACAGAATCTGATGAATTTCTGATGAGAGGAGCCCTGTTTGGGGAAAAGACCCTGGCTCCTCGAACAAGCTACTTTTTGGTGTTTCTGTGTGACCAAGTCCAGGCAGATGGAGGAGGGCAGGCTTTGGGTCAGTAGGCTGTGCCGGAACGAGCAGAAGAGCCCTCTACATGCCCTCCACAGGCCCTGCCTCCCCTCCTCCTAGCAGGCTGCTCAACTGTTACCAGGGCTGATACTGTGCAGCTGCACACTATTTTGGCCCGATGGTTTTCTGCTGGATATGACCAGTGGCTGGGACAATATTGTAAATATCACCTGGTTAACAGACATCTTCAAGCAGGATTCACATGATTTCAAGAGACATAAACCCAACAGGAACTAGTCTGGGCTAAAAGAAAAGTGTATTGGGGCTCACACAGCATGATTGTGTGGGAAGGGCAGGGGTGACTACTTCATTCAGTGCCCACCCATCAGCCAGGATTTCTCAAAAGGGGAAGAGTGGTGTCCATTGCCCACCACACACCAAGAACTCTGGGGTCTACCACACTCTCAGAGACCTCACTTCAACTAGTCAGCTCTCTCCTAGGTTTTCTGTCTCTTTCATCACTTCCCCCACCAAATCACTTTCTCCAGGCTTAAATTCTTGTCCCTCTGATAGACTTCTTGAAAAAGTCTGCACTCCCACTCTTGCCTCTATCCCACTTCATTTCCTTCCTTACCTGTTCTCGCCAAGGTGACCTGTGCACTGAGCCCCAGGGACCCCCCATCTGCCCACTAGTTCCCCCATGGTGTTAGTGACTGCTTCACTCTAGCCACTCCTCCACTGTCTCCTCAGAGGTCAGGCATTCCTGCTGTCTGTGTGCTGTGGATCCTCAGCCCTTCCTCAAGCCTGAGTCCCCTCCTGAGCTCCAGGTCCACATTTCCTGCTTCCTGCTCAGTGACCCCACATGGGATGACCCACAGGCACCTGTCCCTGCTTCCTGCAGCCCTCTGGCATTCTCTGCACCCCTTTCACCTCCACCCCCACCTGGCAGTTCCTGTGTTGACCCTTCTCCATTTTGTTCCTTACAGTGGAGCACCCACTGCTGCCCTGTTTCCCACAACTCCAACTAACTCCTTTCTGCTTTCACCCTAGACCACCGTGGCCAGGGGGTGGTGCCTTGCTGTGCTCCAACAGCACCTGAGCACTGAGCTCTAAACCTCTGTTTTCCCCACTGACTACAAGAGCTCCCAGACTGGAATGATGTCCTCTCCCCAAGGCAGAGAATTAGCAGGAACTTACAGTGAACAAATGGCTTTCTGTGTCCTGCTGAGGATAGGAGGATGAATTCCAGAGTTTATAGTCTGGAAGGGGACAGCAAACATTCCTGAAAAGCTACGTATGTTGCCAGAAAGGGCCCGGTGTTTCCCCTGGGAAGCTTAGTTCTGGTTTGGATCTTTTGGCAAAAACCACAAATTACAGAAAAAAAGGCATCCCCATTTCTCTTTTAAAATAAACATTCTGTAAATACAAGTCAAAACTAAGCTTGTTTATTAAATTCAGTCATGTTTACTAAACTACAAAGCAAATGTTTTCTAAAAATTACTTGGTTAACCCATGCATCTAGGAACAAAGCCTATTTGGTTTTTTCCCCCTCAAAACAATTTAACTGAATACACTGATTTCAGGTTCCTGCTAAATAAGTAAATTTGGAAAATCACGTGTGCCCTCCTGCCTGGGCGGCTGAATTCCAGGTGCCCATGACCTACCATGATGCCTATTATGCCATTCCCTCCCCCATCTTTGCCACAGGATTTGATGCACCTGCGCTCCCAGTGACTGGGCCCCATGATGTCAAACCTGACCCAGGCCTTTGCATTTGCTGTTCAGCTCAATTGCAGAAATTGGTTATTATTAACAGGCCTCTGCTGCCCTGCCCTTCCCCGCGCCCCCCCCCCCGCCCCCAGGCAATAGAAAACTGAGCTGACCCACACTAAGTGTAGGTAAAGGGTTTGGAATTCAGGAGAAAGTAGGTAAGGGGTTTGGAATTTAGGGAAAAGGTTTAATCAGAAAAAAGCTGCAGTCAGGTGATTTCCTGAGCATCCCTTCATCTGCTGACCTGTGCTGATTCTTTATCTACATCCTGGGCAGCTGACCTCTTCCTAGAGCACTGTGGCGGTGATACCATCTTGGTCACTTATAGCTGTCCTGGGGCACAAAGGTCAAATTGCTTGTGGGTCTCCTGAAGTCAGGGCAGGTCCAGTCATACATTCCAGTCCCTGGAACAATAGCTTTTCTACATGCATTAATTACCAAGCCTATTAACTACATATCTAAAGCTAAAAAGTCTATGTGGAGTAAGTTCCCCCTGAACTTAACTTCTTGAGTTCCCCATCAGGAGCAGCCCTGCCATGGCCAGCTCCAAGCTAGGCCTCTTGCTGCTGCTGCTGCTGCTGCTGCTGCCGCCCACCCAACCAGGACCCTCAAAGACTCAGCACTGGTCCCACAACTGGTACAGTGGAGGAAAGTGAGCCTCCAGCTCACCCCTGCACTGCCAGCATGCCCCAAGGCCCCCAGGTGGGTGACGGGTCTCCCCAGCCTGAGTGGGAGGAAGAAGGTGCTGGCTAGGGCTCCTTCGCCTACCTTGAGCCTGTGGTTGGGGGTAGTGAGGGCAGTTTGCAGCCTCTACTATCTTTTGAGGAAGGATTCTGGGCACTGCAGCAAGCGGCCCAGACCAGACTGCCATAGTCTCCAAAGCAATGCCCTGGCTCTCCCCACACACACACACTCCAGGTGGAAAGTGTGCCCTGGGAGGGCAGGACCACAGGCCAGGAGACCCTCCATACGAAGCAGTACCTGGTGCAGACACTGCTGGTAAGTAGAGTGAGAGGCCCCAGGCATTGGCCACCAGGGGCCATAGTGGCTAAGGACTGGGGGCTATGTGAGTGGAAGATGGGGTAGACAGCACTGAGACACCCCTACCACAGCACCCCCAGCTGTTAGTGCCCCCTGCTTCTTACAAGCAGGGTGCTGTCTGCTATTCTATTTCCCAGAACTCTAAACAATTTATAAGATACTTATGTTAAATTTAAAGATTGGAAGTCACTAATGGGGTAGGAAATAATTGTACTGCACTAAGAAACCTCCATAAGTAAGGCAGTGACTGCAGTGGGGTCCCCCAGGCTTGTTTCCTAGGGAAACCATTGTGTTCCCCGGCCAGCAGAAAGAGGTGAGAGGTGGGAGGGACCTCACACTGACAGGTAGCAAGGCCTGGAGGACCAGGTAGTCACTGACATGGCACTAGAAATGGTAGCGATTGCAGAGTCCTCCGAAGCCCTAGCAGAACACAGGTGTGTGGAGATGGATTATTACTATTTTGCACATAGTATTTAAAAGTGCACCAGGAGAGCACGGTAATTAAAGGAGGAAGTAGTAAGTAGATTCCTATACGGCAAAACCTTATCGCCTAATTTAAATCCATGTGAGCTCAGGTTTTTACCTATCAGGTTTGTTTAGGAGGTGAAGGACTCCCTGGATCCTCTAGGCTAGGAGCCTGTCAGCGAAGCCAGTCAGAAGGGGGGCGGGGGGGGGACCGGGCCGGGCCCGCTGACCAGAGCTTCCGCTGTAATGACCGTCCCCTTCCCTGACAAACTGGACCCGAGCGCTGCGCACTGCCGCCCAATAAAGTTATGAGATCCCGGAAGTTGTTGCCTCGAATTCTCCTCCGTCCTCTTCCTCTCCCACTCACACTGAGCCCCTTCTCCGCGTGGGTTCTGGAGGGTCGCGGACCCGGCCCGCAAACGAAGGGGCACGGACGTGACCGGCACCCGCAGGAAGGGCGCAGCCAGAGCCGAGGCGGGGGAC